ATCTTATATTAAAGTATTAGGAGTTAGGTACTACAGACACCAATAAACGCTGCAGTTTACGGAGGGACGAAACAAGGCGAAGCTGAAGTGTTTTTTGTAAAGATGAATGAAAAACCAGTTGCCTGGTTACAGTTCATGTTCGAACTATTTAGTACGTAGCATTTATTGCGAATTAGAAGGGCCCATGATAAAATTTAATGACTTCCATTATAAAAGTGATTACCTATTTTGAAAAGTGTAACACCTGTAAGTAATCGTACAGGTGGTTTAATTGTTGTTAAGAGAGGAGCGGGGAAAAGTTACACCGGCCGCGGCAGCTTAAAGTTTGGTAATGGCTGCTACAAGTGTTGTGGTGCTTGACAGGGGAAATAATACAACATGTACAATTAATTTACATGGTAAAAAATTATTATTTAATTATATTTTTTCTGTGATTACTTAAAACATTTGTATCCCTAAACGAAATTACACTTTTCTAACCTTACATTTTTTAAATGCATTAAGTTTTCTTTTTAAATTACCTTAAGGTTTATTTAAATTTTAGGTGCCACAGTGGTTTCCTGGAGAGTAAATAACCAAGAGCAATTGTTTGTAAGGNAAAATTTTTGCTCCAAATTTTTTCATACATTAACAAAAATAGAATTATTTTATAATTCTAAACAATAAATATCATTTGGGAATAATAACTGAATTGTTTTGTTCAATTTAAACCAAGATAATTTTAAATAATTGTATTAAAAATATATTTATTTTAGCAAACAAGCAGTGTTTGATGGAAAAAAGGCTATAAGAGGAGGAATTCCATTTGTATTTCGTAAGTAACATTAGCAATTACTAGTAGTTAAATATTGGAAAAACATAATTTTTATAGCTCAATTTGGACCATGGACATTTGGACCACAGCATGGCTTTGCCAGAATTGTACGCTGGAATCTTGAAAAGGCCCCTGAAAGACTAGCTAGTGGTGATGTAGAAGCAATATTTTCTATAATGGACAACGACTTTACACGTTCTATGTGGAATTTTTCGTGAGTATAATATTTATTAATAAATTTGAATCTTACAATTTACCAAATAATATCTAACTTTTGATAAAGAATCAAAATTATATCATAAGTACCATTTTCTGTAATACAACTCAGTTCACTGAAGAAGTTAAAGAATTTATAATTTAATTACATAATATTTCATTAAAAAACAAGCTTCTCCTAGTATAGGAAACAAGCATTATTTTATTTTATATGACATGCACAAAAACTTTTCCATTCTTGCCCTTTTTGCTCTATACTTGACCTCATTATCAGGCAAGAATTGAAAATTGCTTGAATAAAATATTTATGCATTGAGAACGTTGGAAGTTATCAAGCATGTCAATTAAAATTGGTGACAAAGGTTTATATTCTATGCAATTAAATTGTACTGGAAAACTGTATACCACAAATTGTTACATAATAATGTTTTATAATCATTATATTTGTCACAAAATAGAAACGTTTCTATAATTTAATTTTTTTTTCAATGAATGTTTTTAATTAAAAAAAATTCTTGTTTATAAGTAGTAGGAAATGAGTTTTGGACTTATATGTGATAGTTAAGTTAATAATTAGATTAATTTTTATTACAGATTTCGACTTACGTACCGTTTAATACTCCGAGAAAAAGAGTTACATTTCAACATAGCAGTGTACAATCCAAGCAAAGATTTAACATTTAGTTTCAATATGCTGCTCCACACTTACTTTAAGGTTCCTGACGTACGAAGATGTCAGATAACAGGCCTACACGGGTGCACTTTCATCGATAAAACGCGAGAAAACACTTGCTATCAAGAGGGAAGGGATGTGGTTACCATCGGGGAGTGGACTGACCGCATATACCAAAATACTCCTCAAGAACACATCATAACGAACGTGGTATCAGGTCGAAAGATGAGAATTCAAAAATATAATTTTCCCGATACGGTTATATGGAATCCGTGGGTTGATAGAGCAAAAGGGATGACGGACTTTGGGGATGACGAATACCCAAATATGGTCTGTGTGGAAGCGGGCCATGTTTCTAGTCCCGTTATTCTTTTGCCCGGGACAGCATTCGAAGCAAGCCAAATTTTACAAGTGATGTGAAAAAGTATTATACCTTCGAGGACGTGTTCCCATTCCAACTTTTTAAAGATTCTTATTTTTTATTGTTAAGTAATTTCTGTGTTTATAACAGGATTTTTTGATTTTAAAAAGCAACAATAATGTCAGTGTAAAGGTTGTGTTCGTAAAATAATTACGGAAAAGCAATAGGAGTTTTTTGTAGAGTTACTGGATTATGAGTCTTTCAGTAACCTGCTAGCTCAACATTAGCCTTAATCTGGTATACGACTGGTATAGATAAGCATGTACTACTTACTAATAGTGCAATAGATTGTTGAACATTAAACAACTTTCGATTGTCATATAAGCACTGAAAATAAACGTTTTAAATCAATTATCTGCGATTTTATTTCAAAACACAGTCTGTTAATCCCCGGACGATGAAACAGAAATACATTGTCATTATTTTAATATACAAGGGCCTTAAAGGATATTATAAGATAAATATGGCGCATTCGCTCTTAGGTAAAGAAATCACTTTAGAAAACGTAATGTAAGTTAGTAAGCAAAGAAAAATTGTATCGGAATCGAGTTTATTTCTATATCATCTATACCGAATAATTTTGTAAATGTAACGGAAACACGTAGCGGAAATTAGAGAAGGGGGAAATGCTCGCTAATAATAATAATTCATATAGAGCTTTTAATCTGTCTGTGGTGACGTTTTTTCCATGTATTAATGAAGCATGTAACAAGATTAAATTGCTAATCAAAATCAAAGGAAATAAGGAAAAATAAAAACATACAACTTGAATAATTTTATCTAAAAATAGTTGTACCTACCAGCCGTATGTATACGCTTGCTGTAAAAGGTAACCGGGCACGTAGTATAAACCTCAAAGAAAATGCAACATCCCGGAATAGAGGTAAGGATCACTGAGCAATAAATAATAACTAAAAAACATTTTATTAACTTGAAATCGTTGCTTGAGCAATTGGTACAAAATATATGTAATGTGTGTATATTAATGGAGTAGTTGATGTTTAAAATTAAGTAAGCAGTATAGGTTTACAACTCATTGTACAATAAAAAAAAATATGTTTATATTTCAATTAATTTAGTGTGATGAACGATAACAAAAAATAACTTTACATACTTAAGAAAGTAAACAAAATCGAATAGTGTTTTTCAAGTACAAAGAATTATAAACTTTAAAAGCAATTGAAAGAAAATATAAGATTGTAGGGTCGTACTAATATAGTTAGTAAAAGAGAAGTACTTTCAACGATTCTTTTAAAATAGCAAGTAAAATAATCAAAGTTATTTTAGTTCGTTTATTGACCAGTGCGACCCCGTACTATTGCTATTATATAAGAGGCATTTTTCTGTTGGCTATGCCTTAATAAGTAAGTTTACAAATGTATATGCAAGTGTAAAGCTTAACAAAAAGCGTCATAATCGGTTTATACGATCATAATAATAACTAATAAGAAAAATACATTTAAGTAAAATTAAACATAAAGCAGTCTTAAAGCAAATATTAAATTTTAGAAGCGAGAACAAAAAAATCACGAGGAGTTAAATACCACAGTTTACCTGACGGGTGAGCAATCGCAATATAATAACTAATAATAATAATCACACTCACATGCTACAAATTCCTAACATTAGTTAATATACAAAGTATTTTAAATAACAAAAGAGAATATTCCCAGTGATTTTAGCATCAGATATAACAATAGGGCTAAGACAAAGGGCGCACCAAAAAAATTAATAAAGAAAAAGCAATGAAGAAATATAATTTTGCCGAAGTTTTTAAATGAATTTATATTTGGAGAATAGATTTGTAAAAAGTGTTAAAGTCACCGGGAAAATCCCAAAAAAAAAATCAGTCTCAACAGATCAGCAATTTTGAACTGGCCTGGTGCATCAAACATTTGGCGCATTATCACGATAGAAAGGCACAAACTGATTAGTTCATATTGACTTGGCTGTGCGCCAGGACCAGGATGTCTTTCTTCTCTTTGGGGAAACGTAATTCACGTCCAGCTAATCGTGCAGATTCTAATTCTCTCTCGGCCTGGTTTAGTTCTCTTCTAAGGGCCCCTTTGCACTCTTGCTCCCTAGCTATCCAGTCGAGTGCCATTTGAGATCTCATATCATCATCAAGTGTTCGATTCGAATAATGAGCAACAACTTCTTGACGACTACACTGGCGTTCCCTCATCGCTTTCAAACTACCATTCCAATGGAGCAATTGAAACACTGTCATTAACTCCTGGAACTCTAACATAGTGCGGCCTTTATTCGATTCCAACATAAATCGAAAAGCTCCTATGCCAGTGTTCGGGTTATCCGCTTCTTCTGGTTCTCCCTTGAACGAAGCTCGCGCTTCAGCAACGGCCTTTTCTATGAAATCGTCAGATATTCGTCTGGACGGATGTTCATTAAAAACTGAGTTCATTAAAGCTATTTTAGCTGCACTTCGACGAGCCTCTGCTTTCGTTGGACAATTCTAAAAATGTGAAATTGCTTTTTTTTCTGTTTTTAAATCGTAGTATTATTCTTAGAAATTAAGGGTCGAAATTTAAGGATAATTCACACTTTTTTTTTTCCACGATTACCGTTGCGTGTTAAATAGGCATTCTTTCTTAAAGACGGTGCTAAACCGTTTTCGAGTGCGGTGTCAAATAGGTACTTTCCAATATTATTTTTGCGAAAATATTTAAAATAATAGAAACATAAAAAGCGCTCGTGAAATGATTAGAAGATGGAAAGCATTTATTAAACTTCAAGAAGTGATAATTATGTAAAAATGTGTGTAGAATCTCGTGATGTTAACGGTTTTTGAGTGCGATGTCAAATAGGTACTTTCCAATATTATTTTT